CAATTCTTGGTGGTGGATGCTACATGATAAACTATTATCCTGTTTGCATATGTGGCAGTAAACTAGTAGGGTTCATTGCAAGGTTAGTCTGTTTACATGTTAAGACCAGTTGATGAAGTGCAAAATACAGAACCATGAAGTCATAGGGCATCACAATTCACATAGGTGTGATGACAAGACCCAAGCTACTACATTACTAGTCTGGACCAATAACGAATGGTGAAACACGTCAGCCAGCCAGATATTTGTTCCAAAACCATGCAGGTGACCACTCATAGATTGGAGAATACGGATTAACCATTTTGGGGACCAAATATCTTGTATCAGGGATGTAGGGAGGTCAAGATGTTCTCCTAAGGATTCAGGATCCCATTGATCAAGCAGATTTCAACAGTCGCAAAGAAATGCAACAAACAGTGAAGTCCAAAGATTGGAATTTGGAGGTTGAGGTCATTTAAATGGTTGGAAAGATTAACAAAATATCAAATAGAGCACAAAGTTGAGAAGGTGAGATGTCTGATTGGGGCTGGTTGGGTTTTAGATCATAATATTCATTCAAGGGGATATTAGATGATTATGATGAACTGTAGAGAAAAATGATCCATTGACGGAAACAAACTGTGAAGTTGGTTGATAGGCCAAAATGAGAAGTGAGCTTTCTTTATGAATGTTGTTGCTGCTTCTGCTACAGAAATAAATATTGATATATTAAGAGAGCATAAAAAAAGCCCAAGCACATGTTCTTCTTCGGCCAGGAAGGAGGACATCAAACTATACAGAAAAAACAAGTGCCATGTCGGGAAAAAAAAAAGCACTCTAAATCTGTAAATTATCAAAAGATTGCCATGTAAGTAAAAGATCATCACCTAAGTGCTGAAATAGATTGACTTGACCCTGAAGCGCTGCTACTGTCACGGTTGAATCTGACTCCATAATCACTTTCAAATCTCTGTGTTCCTGCCAAGTTAACAGCTACCATAGAGGCCACCAGCTCCTCTTGCATAGCTCCTCCCACTGGGACAGGAAATATACCCTTTTTTCTGCAATTGAATGAGTCTGCATCTGCTAGAAATAAGATGTGTAAAAAGGACCAGTAGACCTAGTCACATATCAGTTGCTGGTCCATCTAAAGATCACGGTGTTTATTTTTTATTGGATGTACTAGTCCATGTTTCAATCCTTCTTTTTTTTCTAATAGATGGAATCATCATTATTAGTTCTAGTAACACAATCGTAAGACCTTATTGAATCATTTAGAATGCCTCTCTGGCAGTTGACATTATCCAGCTAGCAAAAGACAGTAACCATTTAGCTGCACTATCAGACAATTTAGAATGCCCATCAATTATTTGAAGTGGTGCAATTAGGAAAAAATAAAGAGATTAAGAGTTTACATGATTAAATATGTTATATGTTATGCTCAATTTTATTTTTAAATTTTCATTTTATATATGTTTTATATGTTATGTTTATGTATTTTAATTTGAGATAATAGATTTTTAAAACATTTATTTTAAATTTTAAATTTTTATTTTTAATTAATATTGTGTTTAATATTTTATTATTTTGAATTTCTTGACTTTTTTTAATTTTTTACCATTTTTTGCACCTTGCTTAAAAAAGGCACTCACCTTGCACCCACCTCAAGCGCAAAAAAGGCCCTTAGGCTTTTAAGACGGTGTTTGGCATCGATGTCGTTTTATGAGAAAATGGTGCCACATCAGAAAAAGTGGTGCTTCAGAAAACGGCCTCTTATTTGGTACCGTTTTCCAAGAAAAAAAACGTTGGTACAAGTCACCTTGGAAATTGGGAAAGTATGGTCTGAAGAAACGCCAAATTCGATGCTTTCTCATAAAACAACCCGTTGCTGCCAGCGATGCAATGATGTGGCATCATCTTGGACGTTGGATAATATGGCCAATGCTGAAAACAGTTCTTGAGCACTAGTACCAAACAAAACCAGTGCTGTTTTCTGTGGCAGCACCGCTTCCAATCAAAAATAAGAGAAAACAGTGCTTACAACTCAAACATGCCCAGCACCGTTTTTATGAGAAAACAGTGTTGTATTCCCAACACCGATGCCAAGCACCTACTAAAACACATGCGTATCACTTTACCTAGATAAGAACAAAGCCAGCAAGTTCTTGGAAAAGGACTTAAGAGCAACATATATTGAAATTAAAATTTGTTTATAGCATGGTTCACTATCGTATAAAGTCAAGCATGGTGGACTATGCTATAAACCAACTTTGAGAGCAAATTTCAGCCCCCGTTTTAGTTTTTATCAATAACACAATTCGTTATGTAATTTCAATAAAAATTACAAATAAGAATACAAACTTTCTTATCTTCCAAATACAGTTTGAGCCCCAAGAAAGGAAAAAGGAGAAAAAAAGAAAGAGAAAGGGAAAAGAAGAATAAAATTATGGTTGTGCCCAAAACATTGACTCCCTCTCCACCCCTTGTTTAGCTAACCCATCAGCAAAAGAATTAGTTGATCTTTTTACCCAAATGATTTTAACTTCCATTCCTCGAACCAGCCATCTAAATTTCCTCCTCACATTATTGTAATGTCATAAGCCACTGTTGTCTTTATTCAGCCATCCTACCACCACCTCCGAATCTCCCTCAATTATGAGTTTTCTGATATTCATCTCCCTGGCTTTCTGGATTTCGGCTCTGAAAGAGTCATCCACTCCAACTGGGCTTGAAAACATGGTTAAGACAACCCCATTCTCATCCCTAAAAACACCCCCAATCTCTGATTGTTCAGAATTCCCTCTACAACTCCCATCAAAGTTTAGTTTTATGAAACCTACAGGTGGGGGGGTCCAAGACACACTCATCACTGTTTTGGCCTAGGAACAGTTAACAATCTCACATCATTTCCTTAACATGCCATCCATTGTATAATATGTGAATAGCTCTAGGGATTTCATCCACTATACAACCCTTATAAGGATCAGAGCCCTTAGTTCTTCAGTACATCTCTCTACTTCAGAGAATATCCTGGAGTTTCTTTCTTCCCATAAGGACCAGCAAACTGCAGTCTGTCCTCTCCACATAATCCTTCCCCTTTTCATACGCCACCTAAAAAAAGAAGGGGAAAATAGATTTTGCAAATTTGATAGAGGGTTCCAACTACACCCAAAGAGGGAAAAAGCCCACTCCCAAATAGACTTCGCAAATTGGCAAGACACCAATAGATAAAAACCAGTCTCCCCATCAGCTTTACAAAGAACACACTAGTGAAGGGACAAACAAGTATTGGGTCGTTTCTTTTGAAGCAGGTCACAAGTGTTGAATCTTTCCAAAAAGGCTTCCTAGCAAAAACTACCAACCCTAGGAGGAATTTGTTTGCACCAAACCTCATTAACAGGAAAAGAAAGGGCTATAGGACTGGTGAACTGGTTTAAAACTTTGAAGAAAGAGGCACAAGAGAAACAACCAATGGGGCTGGGGGTCCAAATTCTAGAGTCCACCTTAGTAGGATCTAAGAAAATATTGTCAAGAAGCTGAAAGAGATTCGAAATATTGTCAAGGCCCGAGTCATTCACAACCCTTCTCAAGCCCAAATTCCACCCAAAACCAAAGATGGAAGAGGAAGGGGCGATGAAAGAGGAAACTGGCTCATTTTTTAATTTTGGCCCCATTTGGCGCATCTTTTTGCACAGGCTATCAGCTGTTTAGAAGCCCGACAGTCTGTATTTTCGTCTTTTCCCATTTGATCGGGAAAAGATCTAGCCGCCAAAAGACTACCCCAAAAAAGACACGAGAAACTTGATTCAAGCTTATTTCAAAAAGCTAGAAATGAAGCTTTTTGCCTTTTTTGTCTCATTTTCGCACAAAAAAACGTGCCTCTAATCAAACGGTCTATGGGCTGCCAAAATCTTTATGTAAAAGGTCACTACATCTTTTGGCTGTCAAATCTTCTAGAAGATCTTTCAAAAAATACTTGCCAAACGACATCATTACTTGCACAAATCTCTCTTTCTTAGATCTTCCAAATTATGAGATTCCCACATTTCACACCACAGCAGGGAGGAAGGAATTTAGGATAACTATTTATGCGCAAATCTCTCTTTCTTACATCTTCCAAATTATGAGGTTCCCACATTTCACACCACAGCAGGGAGGAAGGAATTTAGGAYAACTATTTATGCGCAAATCTCTCTTTCTTACTTCTTCCAAATTATGAGGTTYCCACATTTCACACCACAGCAGGAAGGAATTTAGGATATCTATTTATTCATCATGATTGATCAAAAAAATATAACTATTTATTCATCATCGCCATTGGATTTTCAACGACTCGTCGTCTTTCAATCTGTAACTCTGTATCCAACATCCATTCCAAATCGAAATAAGAGCTTCGTGGGGAATTGCCTGGAGAGGCTGTAAAGACCAAATTTTGTTGTATACACATCTGAAAACATCTGATTGAAATTGAATTAAATTAGCGAACTCCTCATCCGATTCAAGAAAGGATAATACTTAAATTTGGTAAATTGTCAATAGCTACAGGCACCTTGTACATCATGTAATCATGTATATATGAAAGAAGAGAGGTCGAGGAACCACAGAAAATACAAATTCCTCTGCTCAAGCAAGGCTGGCAGTTTTTTGTACAGCACTGTCATATTACTAATGGTTTAATTTGTAGCTATTGCCAAAACCTCCATTAACACATTGATCAGATGATCAACGGAATTACAGGAGCATCTCAACCTGCCAGCATCCACTTGTTTCACAGGCTTCGGGCAACCCTTTCATATAAATCCCGAGGCCAGTTCCTTGTCAAATTGTGTGCCACGAAATTCGCTATCTGCAAAGGCCCAATATCCATGACATCTCAGTATTTTTTTTCAAAAATGAAGAAACAAGAAGGTGCAAGGGAAATGAAGAAACAATTCCACGGCAGATAAAAGCAGTGGTTTTATCACACAAACCTTGGTCCTCAAAGCACGAAGAGATCCATCGGAATCCCTCACATTGTCCAGACAATTAAGGGCAACCTTTAAGAGATCGGGTACACAATCTTGGATATGGATAGACAAAGTCTGGAAAACATCAGTTGCTGTATCTGGAACCCGAGGATCCAGTGGGAGGAAAGAAAGTTTGGTAACTTCTCTAAGAGCATCTGCATGATTGCCAGATCTCGCCAATTTGTGGACAAATAGTATGGCCTCAAGTTGCCTTAACACAGTTTGTTGTTCCATAACATGCTCCCTTTCTTGAAGGCTGCACGTGAGATTTAGATAACTTCATAAGCCATAAAAGGTAAAGATTTGAAAATTTTATGCAGCAAATTGCACATAAAGAAAAAAAATTAATTCCAGACAAGATAAATGGCCTACAGCAAGGGTGATGGAAATTCCAAAACAAAAGAAAATTCAGTTATTTAAGATTTACAAAATTTAACCAAGTCATTCAAATCCATCAAATAAAACAGCAATTTAATCAAATTATAAATCAAACTATCTATAAAAAATTAGTAAACAAATATAGGTAGAATAGAACATTATGCATAGATAGTGGTAAGACGGAGAAGGAAAAGGAGGGGAAGAGGAGCAGTGAGATAAGGGGGGGGAATGTTTGTCATGGGAGTGGATGAAGAGGATCCATAGCTGAATTTGTGGCAAAGCTAGGTTGCAAGGCTAGAGACTTGAATGAGCTGAAAGGATATTTACAGACTGAAAGAGAAGGTTAAGTGAAGCGGAGAAATTGAAGCTGGAAGTGGATTGGGGTAAGGAGGCTAGAGAAAGGAGAGGGAGGGGGAGAAAAGGAGGATCCTAGGAAGAAAGGGAGTGGGGCTAAGCAGAGGTGTTGAAGAAATGAAGATAGTAAGTTGGAATGTGAGAGGGCTGGGGAGTGCTAGGAAGAGAGCTTTAGTAAAGGCAGTATTAAAGAAGGAAAATCCAGACATTGTTCTAATTCAGGAATCTAAGCTTATGACATTTAATCAAAAGTGGGCTAGAAGTGTGTGCAGAGTGAATGGTCTAAGTTGGGCCATGAGTCCATCTTGGGGCTCACCTGGTGGCCTAATTATTTGTGGAAGGATGAAGTAGTGGAGGGAGTGGAAGAATTAGTGGGAAGGTTTTCAATCTCGGTTAAATTTAAGCATGTGTCAGATGGTTTTGAATGGGCCCTTACCAATGTATATGGCCCCAATAGTTATAAACAGAGGAATGAGTTGTGGGAGGAACTGAGATGTCAGAGGACTGTGGAAGGGGATTTTAATGTGATTAGATTCATTGAAGAGAGTAACAAGGAAAGACAAAGGAGTACTACCAGCATGAGGAAGTTCAATGAGTTCATTAATGCTTTTGAGCTAAAGGAACTGAATCTCCAACACAATAGCTTCACTTGGTCCAATCTCCAAGCTGAACCTATTTGCTCAAAACTAGACAGGTTCTTGTTCACCACAGACTGGGAGGAGCATGGGGGAGATTTGGTGTCAAGGACCTTACCCAGAGTTACTTCCGACCATTGGCCAATAATGATTTGTAAGACTGATTTTGGTTGTAGTGGACCCTCCCCCTTTAGGTTTGAAAACATGTGGTTACTTCACCCGGACTTCAAAAACAAGGTGAAAAGTTGGTGGAATGAAAGTAACCTGAAAGTTAATTGGGCAGAGATGAAATTCCATTGGAAGCTAAAAGAACTGAAAGTCAAAATTAAGGAATGGAATATTCTCCACTTTGGTAGGTTAGAGGAGAGGAAGCAACAGTTGATAAGCCAAATAGAGGAGTTAGATGCTAAGGAAGAAAGGGGTTGTTTTGGGGAAAGTGATAAAGAACAGAGGTGGGAGTTAAGGAAGAGCCTGGAGGACACAATTTTCCAAGAAGAGATTAGTTGGAGGCAGAAATCTAGACATAAATGGGTAAAGGAAGGAGATAGGAACACAATTTTTCCACACAATTGCCAATAGCAGAAGAAAGAAAAACACCATATCTAAGTTGGTAGTTGATGGGACAGTTTTGACTCGACAGCATGAGATTGTCAAGGCTGTTGTGGAGCACTTTAAATCCATCTTCAATAAGCCTATGTTTAAGAGATTAAGGATTGATGGATTGGATTGGCCTAAGCTCCCTGATGAGTTGATTGTGTGGTTGGAAAGAGAGTTTGACCTGGAAGAAATCAGGGATGCCATTTTTTCCATGGATAGATATAAAGCCCCGGGCCCTGATGGTTTCACGTTGGCTTTTTATCACGATTGTTGGGAGATAATTAAGGATGATATTCAAGCTGTGTTCTCTAAATTCTTTGAAAGAGGTGTGATAAACCCGGGCCTGAACTCTACTTTTATAGCTTTAATTCCGAAGACTGAAGGAGCCTGTCACCCTAAAGAATTCAGACCCATCAGTTTGATTAATAGCCTCTACAAGATTATTGCTAAGGTGCTTTCTAGAAGAATTAGAGAGGTGCTCCCCTCAATTATTTCCCACAATCAAGGTGCTTTTGTGATGAATCGATAAATTGTGGACCAAATCTTGATTGCCAATGAGAGCGTGGAAGACTATAGAAGTAGAGGTGAGAAGGGGTTGGTGTGTAAGCTAGATTTAGAGAAGGCATACGACATGGTGGATTGGTCTTTGCTATTGGAGGTTTTAGAGTCTTTCGAATTTGGGAAGAGATGGTGCAAGTGGATAAAAGGGTGCATTAGGACTTGTCATTATTCTTTGTTAGTGAATGGTAGGGTGGTGGATCACTTTCCAGCTGTTCAGGGTATTAGGCAAGGGGACCCTCTATCCCCCTTCCTCTTTACCCTAATTGCTGAAGTGTTAGGGAGGCTGATTCAGAGGGCAGATTCAAGGAGCTTGATTAGTGGATGGAGAGTGGAGAGGGATAGGGTTCCGGTCACTCACCTACAATTTGCAGACGACACAATTCTGTTTTGTAATGGAGAGGAGATTAGTTGGGTAAGAAACTTGAAGAAGATGATTAAGGTGTTTGAACTAATGACCAAACTCAAAGTTAACCTTGGTAAGAGCTGTGTGAATGGTATTAATATGAGCGAGGGAGAGGTGGAGGAAAGGGTTCAAGTGCTAGGTTGTGAGATAGCTCATTGGCCACTAAAATAATTTAGGGCTTCCTTCAGGAGATAATCCTAGAAAAATGAGTTTTTGGAATCCGGTGATTGACAAATTCACTAAAAGGCTAGCTTCCTGGAAGAAGAATTACTTGTCTCTGGGGGGTAGGATTACACTGATGAAGTCTACATTGGCAAACCTTCCAGTCTATTTCATGTTTGTGTTCAAAATGCCTGAAGGAGTCTGTAGGGTGTTGGAAAAACTGATGACAAACTTCTTATGGGAACCCAGGGAAGAAAAAAGGGACCATAGAGTTAGGTGGGATCTAGTTACAAGACCCAAAAGTGAAGGGGGTCTGGGGCTGGGAAACATCCAAAAGAAGAATGTAGCTCTTTTAGGGAAATGGTTATGGAGGTGGTCTAAAGAAAGGGAGAACCTGTGGGCCAAAATAATCCCAAGTATTCATGGGCAAGAGGCAACTGCTGGGATCCGAGACTCTCACCTAGGGCTTCAAGAGCTTCTCCGTGGAAATCAATCCACGCGATCCTTCAATCTTTTCTTCCCTTCATCAGGTATGATCTTGGTTCTGGCTTGTAAGTTAATTTTTGGGAACACATTTAGGTGGGGGATTCCCCCTTGAAAGAGCAGTTTCCCTCTTTGTTTGCTCTGGCTAGGTTTAAAAGTGAACCTGTAGCCACCTTTGCTACCGTGTCTAACTCTGTTATAGGTTGGAACCTAGGTTTTAGAAGGGCACTTAGAGATCCTGAATTGGAACCCATTTCGAATTTGCTTAAGATCCTGGATGAGGTAGTCCTTGAGCCTTCAATTGGGGAC